TATATATATAATAAAATTTATATCATAAAAAAAGATTTCAAAATTTTCAAAATAATACATATACCAAAGATTAAAAACATTACCGTAACATACAATTTAATTGTTTTTTATTTATTAAAGTATTAATATCATCTAATATTATTTTTCAAAAATATAAAAGAGACTTAAAATTAAAAAATAATTTATCGTAGTTTATAAAAATATAAAAGAGACTTAAAATTAAAAAATAATTTATCGTAGTTTATATAACATGTGAGAAAGATAAACATTGAGTCAGAGGCGTATCTAGTGCTTTAGCATCGAGGGATGCCCTAAATGGAGTTTTTGAAGAAATTTTTTTAATGCTAGCTTGGCTGAAATATTTTAAATATACGAATATTAGTAATGAACGCCCTGAATGATTATATTGACAAAAAATGGTGCTCCCAGTCAACAAAATTCTTAGATCCATTGTTGATTCTTTAAAGGTCGATAGAAATCTGATATAACAAATAAACAAAAGAAGAAGTTAAAAGGTTAAATATTGAAGATGTTCTAAAATATTTAGAAGATGATTGAGATATTAAGAAAGAATAATAAAAATACTAAAAAAGAATAATTTATTAGAAATATTTGATCATGTATTTTATGCTCGCACCCCGTTTAATGCATTAAAATCGACGGCATCCATCGATGACGCTATAGTAACCCACCTATACCGAAACAATTAAAATTTTAACATAAGTTCCAAAATGTCCACCTTTTAATTTAATGATATTAACTATGTTTATATATATTAAAAAACTTCTATATCAAAATAAATCTTTATTTTAGTAATAAATATAGTAACATAAGAAATAATATTATCTTAAGAGTTAATAACTACTTATTTCAATTTATAATCGCTATAACTAAATAGACGGAGGACTCGTCTTAGAAAGTTCAGAAATTTTGTCATCTTCTTTGTTGGGGCAGAGAAGTGTAAAGTGTAAACACTAAACAAGAACCCTTGTCGTTCTCGAAACCTATCTAGTCGGTGCTCGTGATTTTTTCCGGTGAGTACGCATCATCAGAGCTCACTTTTTCTTCCTTCTGTCATCTGCATACGTCTATATGTATCTAATTCAAGCATTTTTGGCTGCATTCTACTGTGTGTATGTTTAGGTTTTTATGGAAATATGTTTTGACTTTCGTATGAAGACGCCATAGCCAACACGTTTTAATGATGCAATTATTGTAGCTTCCATAGTTCCAACTTTTTCAATTGTTTATAATTCCCTTTCGTTCTTATGCGATAAAGCTACACTCGGCATTTATCGAGCTTTTGACATTCTGATGAACTTTTATCTGCAGAGACAGAATAGTACAAATTCATAACCGGTGATGCAAGTTCAGAAGTGGAGATGGCTGTAGTTTGCGTGATTGGCTTCTATTACTGACCTACTGGTACTCTCTCTGACTCTATCGTCGAAACACATCTTAGATTTAAGTCTGTGAGGAAATTATCTAATGAGAAAGAAGGGAAGAAAAGAGAAGAAGAAAATGGGAAGAGCACCATGCTGTAACAAAGGTGAAGTGAAGAAAGGTTCCTGGACTCCTGAAGAAGATAAGATACTCGTTGATTACATCACTAAGAACGGTCATGGCACCTGGCGTTCTTTTCCTAAACTTGCAGGTTTCATTCTCCGCTTCTCTCTCTCCTTTCATTTTCATTTTCGTAAAGGACGATCTGTTATTCTTCCATTCAACGTATATCGCGTGTTCATCGATCGCAAATTAATCGTTAATCTTATTTGACATCTTCAATCCATTGATTCAAATATACAATCTGTTCATCCATCCCCAATTTTGATGTTGTCGGTGTTTAATTTCTAATGTTCTACACATGCTTTAATTTATTTTCTCCATTAATGTGTTAAGGACTTCAAAGGTGTGGAAAAAGTTGTCGTCTCCGATGGACAAACTACCTTCGTCCTGATATCAAACGCGGCGCCTTCAGTTTTGAAGAAGAACAAACAATCTTCCATCTCCACAGCTTACACGGCAACAAGTAATAAATCTCTTCACCTTTATCTACTAAACAACAATCAATCTGCATATTATTATGTTTATAAACATCAAATATATTATTCAGGTGGGCAGCCATTGCTGCACAGTTACCAGGAAGAACCGACAACGAGATAAAAAATTTCTGGAATTCTCATTTACGAAAACGGATTCCCAGCCTTCAAACCGACCTACCTTCAAATTCAACAGATACGAAGAGCAACAGAGTGGAGAATGATGCAAAACCAGAAGATAAAGCCAAGCCATCAATGAATCCCATGTGTCACAGCGATAACTTCCACCATGAATGGGGTTCTGGAGCTTTTCAGAAGGGTTTTAACAAGGTGACGACGTATGGTATCCCAAATCCTATAAAGATTGAACCAGTCTCTTTTGTGACAGTTCAAGCAAGTGAATCTTGCGATCAGAGTGTGAAGGAAGAGATGACAAATGGTTCAGAGTCTCAAAACTCTAACGAAGCACAGAATGAATTGGATATAACATTGGATCTACTGCTAGATTTTCCTAACGATGGAGAATATTTGCAATATGTATAAGCCTATGTATTATTACAAGGTCAGTGTTATAATAATAATTATTAGTGTTTAGGAACTGAGAACAGAGATTTGAAACATCAATGAATAAAAACTGTCACTTTGCTATAATATACACAAATTACACTAATATGTTATATGCACACCAAATAATGAATCATTAAACAAATCATACACAATAAGAAAGAATATTGTAAAGTAAACACACATTAACAAATAAATAAAATCAAATGCCTGAAAAAAGCACACTTTGTGATTAAAACCATCCCAGCAGTTTCTTTGGGGTTTCGCCAGTAGCTCGACACTTGGCTGCAACCTCTTCGGCTTTAATAAGATCTTCTCCGCATTTGGCTTCTGCAATCGCTTTCTTTTCTTCTGCTTTTTTATGGAGAAGAACTATTCTGTTCTTCATCTTCTCTATATACTTTGCCTTCTTCTTCTCCAAATCCTCCTGTTTTTCAAAACCCTAATTAGATCTGTTTTCATAACTTCTTTTTCTGGGTTCGATTTATATTGGTAAATTCAAATTTTGTTACCTCCATCTTCTTCAATTCTGCCTCTAGGTCGGCTTTCTTGCTGTTTTCCCATGCAATGATGGAAGATAGCTTCTGTTGAGCTCTATTTAATCATTTTATTATATCAGTTTCATATAGTAAGTAGTAATCAACGAATTTGAACACCCAAAATTTCATGAAAACTGAAACTGTGTTCTTACTTGTTTTCAGCTTTAGACTTCTCGCTTTCTTCCCATGCTGTAATAAGAGCTAACTTCTTCTCTGTTGCAACTTTAGCAAGAACATCATCTGAACAAGTAACCAAAAAAACTTAATCTTCTTTAATCATCAAAAAGATTTTACAGTTAAATTCTAGTTTAGAATTTTGATCATAATTTCGGTTTCTTATATTACCTCTGTTGATAGAACCCTCTTTAGGTTTCTCCTCACACACTTCCGTTGGTTCTGTCATTTTATCAAACAGTTAGTCTGCATAATCTTCATAACACCAATTCTTCAAACAGAAACTATACAAATCATGGAGATTAGAGATAAGAGAGTATATTACTTTCGATTATGGCGAGAGCTTTAGTATCATCGGTAGGCTTTTCTTCATGAACATGGGGTTCGACCGGGACGATAGCTTTCTCGACGGCGGCGACGGGTGGCTCCGGTGGGCATTCGGATTCTACCTCAACCTTCATGGTGTCTTCTAGTGTCATATCTTTATTTTTCTTTTGTTGTTGTTTGAATAATGAATATAGGATTCTGAAAGAGAAATGGAAAGATTCAATTGTGGTTAGGAAAGGACAAGGAGGATGATAGTTATAGATTACTCGATTTACAGTATTATATTACGAGTTGAGCTGAGCTGGCACGCCCACCATTACCAGACTGTTACTTCATTTCTTTTCTTGAAGTTTTACTTTTTCAAATTAAAGATTAAAGATATTTCATAAAGAACATCAAGAGCCGTTGGTGTATCATGTATGAGTGCACCACATTACTTTTGCATGCTTTTTTTCTTTCTCTCGACACTTTTTTTTTTGTTATTTGTTTATGGTTATTATTATGTTTTATATCTATCATGATTCTTTTGTATACAATAAACAGGTTAATCTAAAAACCAGTCGCATATTTTGAATATTATTTATGTGCTAAAACTAGCTAATATTTCCAATTTGGGATCACAAAGTTGTAGCTTTCACTGTAATTTCATAGTTTGATTGAAGCATGTCTTAACAGAAAAAAAAAAATACTAAATACAATTTTATCATTGATTAGATATATTAATATAATGCTGTAATAGAAAATTGAGAGCGGCATGTATAAACTTTTTTGTATTTAGCCATATGTCAACAAATGACGTGACATAAATTCTTATTTACTAATAATTTATGTCTGATGATAATATCAATGATAAATTGAAAAAAGGGTTAAAATATAGATCTGGGTGAGGTTTTAGATGAATATTCTTACTTCCGAAACCTTTTTACCCAAAATCAAACACAAGGAACAAATAAAAAATCTAAAAGATTTTATAAATCGTACCAACTATTAGTAAGATGTCAAAAGAAGCAGATGATTGATCACTTTATTGCTGGGAAAATGAAATTATTTTGGAAATCATCCGTAATTCTTCTTGTTCTTTTTTTATTTTGATCGATGATTAGTACTTCGTATACATTTGATTACAGTTGGAAGGTCTCCTAGAAGTAAGAATTAGCTTATGGTTATTAACTTTAAATGTTTTTTTTTCATGAACTGTAAATCACTATTGTTTAAAAATCTAAAAATAATGCTCTACGTTACTTGAAAATATAAACAAGTTATTGAATAAAGTAAACGTTATATTTTTTTATTCTTGATTCATTAAAATAAGGATTGTATATTTGTGTGATTATTTATCAAACTGGAATTGCTATTGCTGTAAAGCAGCGTAGATTAGACAATACAAAGGATCATGGCTCCAGCCCAAAGTTTGGTTGGTGAGTTGTCTGCTCTTTGCCTCTTTGTTCACTCAACCACTTAATTATTGAATAAACTCCACTTGTAATCATTTTTCACGATAATTAAATTAAGAGAAATTAATTTGCTTCCTATCTTTTATGTCTACAATTAATCCTACCCATTAAAATTATGACAAATCATCATCCAATTTAATTGTATTTGATATATTCCTAATATAGCCTTAATGAGTTAGTTAAAAAAATATGGAATGATGACACTTATCGTAATTTTATTGGGTAGGAACATTTATAGGCATAAAAGGTAGGAAACAATTTAATTTCTCTTAAATTAAAATAGACTTTATTTTCCTTAATGTTTATTAGAGTCGAATCATGACATCTTGTTTACAACAACGAAAATACAAAATTATAATTATTGGAAAGAATGAAAAATACTAAAATAGATTGCTAATTGCCTAATTTACGTAAATGACTAGAACACATACTTAAAATAGACAAACTATAACATGTTAATATTATTGGGATAATCACAAAATTACCTCAGAGATATATTAGACCTAACTTTTGAATATTTAAAAAATAATCACCTGTTCTATAATGGTCATTTGGGATCTCAAATAATATATAATGTTGATAGCTTATTTTATTTCCTTATTTTATTAGTTTATTTTAGATTTTTAGATCTTTTTATCATTATTG